GCCCACCAGGGGGCGGGGCTGGCTGGCATGCGGTGCTGGGGGATTGAACCGCGGTCCCTGATGCTTTGTCAAGCTTGTTCTAAGTAGGTGCTTTAGACCACTGAGCCATCTCTCCAGCCCTAAAAAAATATTTTTAAAAAAAAAACAAAAAACAAAAATTGGGCAGGAGCCCAGAGGTGCAGGGACTATAAAGATACTTTCAGCTGGGGTCCTGGACAACTCAAGGGGGCATGCAGGCTGAGACGTACAGTGAATGGGCTGCCCGGATGGCCCAGGTTAAGGGACCCCTCAAGACCTTTCCTTATGGCCCTGTCACCCATAGGGACAAAGAAAAGTCACTCCACATCTCCATCTCAAGCACTTCTCCACAGTCACACAGAGGATGTGAGATTCCCCCTCCACCCTGCTCTGAGCACCACCTCAACCACATGCCCCACCCTATACCTTGGTTTCCTCCTCTGCGGCAGGGGCTGCTGTGCAGACTGCAGGGAACTAGCCCCCCCCCCCCGGCCATGCTGTGGATGGGGTGGTCAGATATGAGGTTTATGCAGAGCTGGCAAGCAGGCAGGAAGGCCCTTCATAGACACAGGGTCAGAATGAGCACACGCAGAGGCAAGGAAGACCGTGCATGTGTGTAGGTGGCAGCATGGGCTAGGGGATTCAGGGGAGACACAGGAAGGGTCCCAGCCACAGGGATGGCACATTACCCCACTTGCAAGGAAAGCAGGGAAGGGTCTGAGGCAGGGACAGAGGTGGGGACAGTGAAAGAGAAGGAGGGAGGGGGCTACTGAGTAGAGATGGGGTCTCCCTGGAGAGGACCCAGCACCCAGAAATTCAGCACATGTGACCAGCTGGGGAGGCAGGCTTCTCAGAAATATGTTCCTGGTGGAGAAGAGAACAGAGATGACAGGGCAAGGCCGTGTGTGGAACCACACTGTACTCAGTGTGATGGCCCATCAGTTCCAAGGTCCAGCCTCTCTTCATGCAATCACCCTGGTAGTCACCTGGCTTTCCTGAACCTGCTTGTGTTCACAATCAGGCCGGAGGGTGCCCGTACTTGGAGTGGTCTACACTGGCCCTTAGAATAGGAGAACTGGTCCCCAGCCAGACCACTTACGACCCCCACTGAACATCAAGAGGAAGAATAGGCTGGACAGGGAGAAGCCAGACAGCTGTGGGGGAGCGAGATGGGTGAGTCCTTGGGGCCAGCTCCGCCTGCGCGGCCTGCCCTGCCTCCACAGGCTTTCTCCCGACCCTCACCCCAGACCGCCTGGGGAATGCAAAGAATCTTCTCCTCTCCTGCCTCTCCCTGTCTGGAGCATTCTGAGTGCTAGGATTTTTCCTTTGAAATGTCAGTAGCATGAGAGAGGAATGCAGTGGGTCCCTAGGGGCACATGTCTGCCAAGCTGACAGATGAGTGGAAAAGATGACAACTGTGACCACCCCTCTGGGACAGGCAGGCCTCCCTCCCAGCCTGCCTTCCATAGAGGCAATTGGGGCTGGGGAGTCGATATTCAGTGGGTACAGAGTCAACTCCACTGATGGGAAGAGCTCTGGATATGTTAGCTAGCTTGATTTAATCATTCCACAGTGCGTGCACATACTCTGTAAAAACGCGCAATCCTATAACTGCAAGAGTCCTGATGGCTAGTGCTGCTGGCTGTACAATGTGCACGCAACATGTAAATGCCGCTGTACTGTGTACTCAAATACCATTAACGAGGTGGGGGTGCAGCTCAGTGGTACAGTGTGTGCTTAGCATATGCGAGGACTCAGGGCTTCATCCTCAGCACCAAGAAAAAGGACGAGCATGGTAAATGTTATGATAGATGGTATGCATGTAGTCACAATTCATAAAAAATCTAAACACTGAGGATGACAAATAAAAAGGGGGGGCAGTATTAGCAACCAAGTGGAGTGACACGGCTGACACATTAATCCCAGACACTCACTGCCCCCCTCCCCCTCCCCTGGGGCAGTGGCTGCTCTGCCCTGACTGGACCAGCAGGACAGAGCAGCGGTGTAGACACCCACTCCCAACCGGGACTCCACCCAATTCTCTGACTGGAGACATGCCCAGCAGGGGAGGTGGCCCAGCCCCACACAGCACAGGAGCAAGGTGGGTGAGGGAGTTGGGGGACAAAAAGTGATCAGATGCAGGGACATCAAGAGAACAGCCCTGCTGATCCCTGCTCAGCTGGCCCCAGCAAGATGTCACCTGGGCGGACCATTGTCTGCCTTGCTCCAGATCTTGCCACTCCCCACACCAGCCCCAAGGATGTGCCTGGGTCAGTGGCTACTCCAGGGCTGCCTCGCCACCATGTCCCAGGAAGTCACTTACACTACATTAAACAAGTGTCCTGTCACACAGTGGCCTCAGAAGGGAGGCTGTTAGTGAAGGGCATGCTGTGGGCTTTAGCTTCCCAGGATTTGCCCTGCTCTGACTCTCCCTGCCTTCCCCAGCATGGCATCATCCAAGAGGACCAGAACAGGGAGCCCCATACACCGAGGCTGTAGCTCACAACCTGCAGGCACAGCCTTTCCCTCCAGTGTGCAATGCGACCCTCTGTGGGACCCTCAGTGGGACCCTGCTCACACACTGCCCACCTGGCAGCCACAGTAAATAAGGACTGAAGTCAGTCCTGGCTGGATATCAGGGAAGGGATGAGTGGCCACTGCCAACTTGCCCTGTGACCGCAGCAGACATAGGTTGAGGTGGGTTTGCCACCTACTGTTCCTAACATCTCATGCTACTCCAGCCCAGCCCTGTCACCACACCCCAAGTCCAGGCCCTGGGCATACTCCAGCTCCTGCCAGCCTGTTCCCACTCACCTGCCTCTGCTTACACATGGGTTCCTTGCTAATCTGCAGTGGATATTTAAAAAGAAACAAGCTAGACACAGATGTTTTATATCTTGGATGCTTGGTACCTAACATGATGGTGTGACAAAGGCAGAACAGATTTGTGCATCCCCAATCACCTCTCACAGGAGAGTATCTCAACTGCCCAGGTGGCCATGTGCAAGGCTAGCTTGCTCTCTCCAATCAGCAGTTGTGTACCAAATGCCATCTGTGGACACAGGGCCTGTGGCCATCCCACCCACCTGAATCCCAGTGGGACATTTCAGGACACAGATCCTAATGAACATGAGGCCTCCAGGATCCCTGGTGGGTGGGGCAGTGGCTCAGATCTCAAACTGCAGGGACAATTGAAAGCCCAGGAAACCAGGCCCTTAGAGCATCAGTACTTGATACCTTGGTCCAACCTCAACCTAAATCCTATTTGGGGCACACACATACACACACAGCACCAAATGTCCTAGAACTCAGAAAACCCTGGCCTTCCCCTTCCTTTCTTGTCTCACTCACTGTCCTACTCATGAACGCACATCTTAAGGGCAGCAGAGACCAGGGGATTCCTGGAAGCCAGCCAGGCTCCACACTCTCACCACTGTAGCGAAGGCAATGGGAGTCGGCCATGTCCCACACTGGCATCTGCAAGCCTCACACACTTCAACCCACATACAATCACTCATCAATGCTTTGCCCCAGGGAGCAGGGCCACTGCAATCTCCAGTTCTGGTGGGCAGGGGCACAGCTCAGAAGCCCCACAGGTCTGGTCCTGAGCCCATGCTGGCTGGATGCTGGAGCCACACCAAAAACATCGGGGCATCACCAGAGCTGGCTGATGCCAGCTGTAACCCTGGCTTCCTACCCACCACATAGGAATCTAACCTCACAGCCCTCTCCTGGACAATGGACATATTCCCTGAGCCCAGCAGTGGGGCCAAAGCCTAAAGCCTAACAAATGCTGACAGAAAATGTATAGCTACTTGATTCTTGTTAAAAGGACAAATATATCCAAGTTTAATCCAACTTACCCTTGTTTCCCAGGAGAAAGGAGCAGAGTGCTCATCTTGCCAAGTTATGTCCTGAAATAAAAATTCAAGAATAAATATGATGCCCAAACTCAGATAACCCCACATAAGCATCCACCAGGGATGTACAGGAACCCAAACGCAGGAATGACCCCCAGCTCGTGGCCCTGAGCAAGCTGACGTCCCGTGCTCTACATGGAGGGTGCTCTCTGCTGGAGGTGATCCGCCTCACTTTTCACTCATGCCTGACCCTTAGGGGACTCAGTGGGGCCCCTGACGACTCAGCCCAGCGCCACAGTGTGGAAGTGGAACTGACCTTCAGTTTGTAGCAGAACAAGCTTGATTCCAGCCCTACCAGTGCAAACTGTGTGCCCAGGGGACATCATAGCATTTTAAGCCTCAGTGGTCTGGTTGGTAAAGGAGAACTGTACCACCCTTGTGAGGATAAAATGAAGCTAAGGCCCTAATTGGCCTGGAATCAGTAGCCCATCTGAATTCCTGCTTCTCCATGTGTCTACAGAGATCTGAAAGACCTGGTAAACAGCCAGGGAAGAAAACAATGCTGATTTAATGAGTACCTGGCACTACCCCAGGTACTCACTCTAGTGATGCCAACCCTCCCGGCAGAGCACAGCAGGCAGAGCCCTTCAGAGCCACACTGTGGACCTGACACAGCCTGAGCAAATGGCTTGTGGGCCCTGCCCCACCCCAGGACTCTCCTCTACCCCCTGTGGTACCTTATCTGTGCCCTGATGCCTTGGAAGTCACACCTGTTGGACCCAAACAGGGTGACACAGACTGAAATAGGCTAACATATTTTAATCGAGCCTGACACTAACATTATTACACACATACTTTATTTCCCCCACCAAATAAAAACTCCAGCTAACTCACATAAAGTACCAAGTACATCCTATCTCTTCCCACCCAAAGGTCCAGACTGCAGGATGGCTCTTCCTTATCTGGGATGGCAGAGAAGGGGGCAGAGGCCAGGCCCCTGGGGGAGTGGAGCACAAACACAACAGACCCGCCAGCCCTTCAGCCCAGCTACAGTGAGCCATGAGCAGAGCTGCCTTTGAACAGCCACAACCAGATCCAGGGAACTGCCTGACAACTCCCCAAGTTCCCCATAAGTGGCCATCTCAGGGTCACAAGGCAACATAAAACCTAGCTCGCTGCCCCATGACACAGCCTAAGAGCAGGGTCTACACCTGCAGACACTCCAACCAGGAGCAAAGGAGTTCCACACCACCCCATCTGGGCACACCACAGGAGCTCCCTCAGGCTCCAGTGTGGGGCGCTGAGCCAGTTCTCTTGAAACACTGTCTGTGGGTAGAGATGTATGCTGGCTACAGCTCTCCCCTCTGTGACCTTTGGGGACAGGATCAAGGTTCAACCTCCTCAACCTGTGTGGGAGGACCAAAGACTGCAGGCTCTCAGCAGGAAACTGAGAGGACCAAGGATGACAGGAAACCTCACAAGCCTGGGCGGGCCAAAAAGCAGAAGGAAGGGGGCTGGAGTCCTGATCTGCCCACAGGTGCAGTTTAGAGTCACATGGCCAGCAGCAGTGCAGCTGTCCCCAGGCAGAGCAGGAACACCCCAGGGTCACCAGCCATCATCACTGGGTCTCCTACATAACACCATCTGAAGGTAATGCTGATTTCACAACTGGTTGGCCCTGCTTTTTACTACTCAAGGCCATTGGGCAAAACTTCTGAAGAACACAAACAGGGCAGCTGTCTTCCCTTTTGGAATTTCAGTTAAACCCAATGTCCGAACTCTGCTCCTTCGAAAGTAGCCATGGCCGTCTGTGTCAATACCCTGGCAACGGGAGGCTCCACACCGGCAGCGGCCAGTGGGCAATGGCAACCGCAGGCCACCTGCGCCTCTGCGTGCCTTGTGGAGGCAGGGAACTGAGTTAAGAGACCTTACAATCTCCCAACTACAAGGCTCCCAAGACTAAGTTTCTCTTAAAAATAATAAAACAAAGGGTTTGTTTTCAGAAAACAAAGGAAGCCACTGGAAGGAAAGTGCCATCTATTCTGCATATGATGCTGGGGCCACCAGCCCCACCTTGAGAGTAAGGAGGCAGCATGTGGTGACCACAGCAGGCAGGAGGCAGCACAGCAGACCCGGCGCAGGATCACCAGGGAACGCAGCACTGAGCCCACCACGGTGCTCTAGGACTTGCCTTTGAAATTACATAATCTAAGCTAAGATTATACTAAGAAGGCTTTGGGCTTTGGAAGTAACTCAGTAGTGAGTTTGAGGAGCATAAGATGAGTCCCGAGCTTGGCACACCAAGTCTCCAGTGGTGGCAGCCATGTCAGCTGAGACGCCATGTGGGGCACAGACTGAGATTGGACATACTGTGACTTCTCCACAACTTGGTGTCCCGTCAACTGTCTACTGTTTGTTCCAGCCAAAAATTCAGTCAAGGAGCAGATTCCTTAGATTTTTGCAATTCTGGGCTCATAAAAAATACTAAAGTGCTTACAAAAATAAACCTGCTAAACAAGAATGTGAAGGAAGCTTGGATGTTAGCTGCTGGTGGTACACTCGAGCCACAAGCAGGCTGGCTCAGGGACAGGTCCAAGGCTGCAGGATGCAAATGGCACCAGGATCTCAAGAGTGCCAGTACCCCTCTCCCTCACGCGCATGCCACACAGCATCCCACTTGCCCAGAGCGCTGTCTCTTCTGCTACTTCCACCAGACCCCCAGGCAACGCACAGGAGGACAGACTTAGCCACCACTGCACATGCCTGCTCTGCTCCAGGGCTGCCCGCAAGCCCTCCCGCCTTCCCCATGCACTCAGAGCAGAGATCAGCTGAGCACCACGGTGTATCTGAGCAGTTCTCTTGGGGCCAAACTGCTCTCCACTGAGATGTTTACGTCAGAGGCAACACTTGGAAATGGTTTCTCCTCCGGAATCCAGCCTCCTGCCACCAAGTCCCCAAGGAGAAAGTGAAAAGCCGAGGAGACGCCAGGAAAAACAGTGTAGCAACAATCTGAGGCCACAGTACACAGGAGAAGTTCTGTTGGTCCTCAGCTAGCTCTACGAGGTCATTCCAGAGGCCCGGAGCATCTGCTCCTCTCATCCTCAAAATGCTTATCCAACTCAGTTTCTATGTCCCAAAGTAAAGTGTTTTAAAAATACACCCACATGCACACACACACACACACACACACACACATTGTAGTATTGGAAGACATACTTTCTTGAAAGCTTACTATGGAACATGTAGGGATTTCTTGTTTCCTGCTGTGAAACACAGCCATCATTAAAAGTTAAAGTGCATGAATTTGTAATTAATACATTGTATTAAAAACAAAAGTAACATACTTCACACCTATAAGGATGACCATTCTTTTTAAGAAATGGAAAATAACAAGCACTGGCAAGAATGTGGAGAGAGCAGGGCTGGTAGGAATGTGGAAAGTTGTGACCTGTATATAGAACCCGGTAGTTCTTCAAAAAGCTAAACACACAACTGCCACATGATCTAGCGATTCGTCTCCAAGGTATGTACCGCAAGGCATGAACGCAGAGCCACACTTCCACACTTACATACCCACGTTCATGGCTGCATTACTTTCAACAGGCCAAAAGTGGAATCCATCCAGAGGTCCACTGATAGGTAAAGGGGTAACTCAGATGTGCTCTATCCATTGGAATGTAATTCAGTTTTTAAAAGAAATGGCATTCTGACATATTCTACAATAATTAGGAATACATTAGTCTATGTGAGTCAGTGCTAGCCACCACTGTATGATTCCACTGAAATAAAATACCTAGAATAGGCAAAATCATGGAGACAAGAAGCACAAGTTGCCAATGAGGGGGATAAGCTGTTATTGTTTCGTGTGTATAGAGTTTGGCTGTTTAATTGATATAGAGTTTCACTTTAAAATAATAAAAACATCCTGCAATAGAGAGAGGTGATGGTTTAACACTGTGAGGACACTAAATGCCACTGTATACTTAAAAATAGCTAAAACAGCAAATTTTACGTTTTATATGTTTTGTCACAATAGCCATGTAAAGACACAGATGAAATTTAAATGCAACGAAAGAAGCTGGTCTGAAAAGGCTACAGACTGCCTGATTCCAGCCATCCAACACGCTGGAAAAGGCAAAACAACAGCAGCAGGGGGAATTGTCAGTGGTTTCCCTGGGTGAGAGAAAGGAGGGATAGCAGGTGTGGGACAAGGACTCGAGTACCTATCCCACGCGACTAGACCATGAATGTACTCCATATGACATCACAATGGTGGCAGCAGACCAGGAGGGAGTCTGACATCAACCAGCAACGCTGTGGGACAATCGTAGCATCAGCACAGCTTCACTTAATAAAGCCACCACTGTGGATGGTCGGATCCGGGTTGCTGACGGTGGGGAAGGCGGCATGTACATACAGTGGCAACTCTGGGGCAGGAGTTTGTGGGAACCCTGTACTTGCTGTTCAGTGTTGCTAGGAAACTAAAACTGTTCTAAAAATATTGTTTTTAAAGTGTGCCCCTTCTACAAAAGTTTATTCTCAAGCCCATCATTTATTTCCTAAGTATGTGAGCACCTTTCCCTACTGGCGGTGCTTCTGAGGCTCCCGGGGTCTACTGCACCTGTCAGCTGGGACAGCAGCAATGCTGTGCTCCTTGCCACCCTGCCCACCTGCTCCACCCTGCTACTGCAGATGCAGTAACGCACACGTACCAGCCAGAGACCAGGGTCCGCTGCCTCCCCCAAACAGCTGCAGAGCATCTACCAGCACATCACGCATCACAGGCAGTGTCAGACATACTGATGTCCGTCACACGCTACAGTCAATGCGACTTCTTGCCATGAAAACCCTAACGGGGGGCTGGAGAGATGGCTCAGTGGTCTAAAGCACCTACTTGGAACAAGCTTGGCAAAGCACAGGGACCGCGGTTCGATCCTCCAGCACCACATGCCAGCCAGCCGTGCCCCCTGGTGGGCTGAGCTGGCCACACACACACACACACACACACACACACACACACAATAAATGTTAAAAAAAAAAAAAACCCTAATGGA